TACTCACTATCCCAAGACTTTAGAGATTTATCCTGCAGGTGATGGAGAGTCACTGATGGAAACTAGACCCTATGAGAGCTCAAATAATATAGCTATTTTGTTTAGTATTTTTTTTTAGAAAGGCTAAGGTAAAAGCCCAACAAAATAAGCACTAGGAAGCAATGCATGGAAGGGGTGGGGAGGTGCAAAGGGGACAGGGATAGACAAATGAAGGGGGGAGGAGAGAATACAGTCAAGAATTCATTGTATATACCACAAAACTAAGAAAAATAAGGGAAGGGATTGGTTAAAGGGATCTGAGAATGTTGAAAGGGGTGACAATGATACAGATGCATTGTATTCATAAACTGCTTTGTTAAATGGCACTTTTGCTGCCAACTACTTCAAGATAGTAAAAAAAAATCCAGAATGTGATTTTTAATTTCTTGGGGTTTTGTTTGCTGAGGGGTTGCTGTTTTGTACCAGTACTGGGGCTTTTTTGCTCAAAGCTGGCACTGTACACTGGTTGTGGGGCCTGAACTCTGGAGCTGGGCACTGTCCCTCAGCTCTTTAGCTCAAGTCTAGCACTCTACCACTTCGAGCCACAGCACCACTAACAGGTTTTTCTACGTGGATGGTGCTGAGGAATCAAACCCAGGGCCTCATGCATGCAAGGCAAGCACTCTACCACTGAGCCACCTTCCCAGTCCATACTTCTGGATTTTTGATGGTTAATGGGAGGTAAGTGTCTCACAGACTTTCTGCCAGGTTAGCTTTGAATGGTGATTCTCAGCTCTCAGCCTCCTGAGTATTACATACAGCTAGTTTTTAGAAAGACCACTCTGGCTCATTTAGTGAGCAAATCGGATATTAGTTACAAACCTGAAACTTTTTAAGTCCAGGAGGAAAATGGCACAACTTTGAACTAATACAGTAACTGTGAAAATGAAGAGAGGCAGCTGTTAGAACTATTGAGAGGATAGAATCAAAAGGAAGACGCCATCTAAGAAGTTTATAGCTGTTTAGGTTCCTAAGCTGGGACATGTAAGTACAAGTAAGAATGTAATGACAATGAGAGAGAAGCAGGTACAGGTGAAAAAGAACAGACAAGGAAGGAAGGAAAGGAAAGGAAAGGAGGGAGGGAGGGGAAAAAGAAAGAAAAGAGAAAGAGAGAAAGAGGAAGGAAGGAAGGAGGGAGGGAGGGAGGAAGGAAGCAAGGAAGGGAGGGAGGCGGGGAGGGAGGGAGGGAGGGAGAAAGAACAAATGAGAGAAAGAAAGAAAGCTTCAAACTTAAAACCATGGAAAAAGGATTTTTCCCAGTATGAAGCTTGTCTGTCACACTTTGCCACATTTACATTTGGGGAATAGATATTAGCCAACATCATCGCCAAGAGGGGCGAAGATATACGTGGATGAGACAGTGGCTTTTTTCCTTCCCCTTCTGTTGCAGACTTTTTGATGACATTGCAGATTCAATGCAGTAAAAACCTGTGATTACTGCCATTTTCAAAACGACAAACTGAGAGTGGTGAAGGCAGTGCTAGCAAATGGCCAGCACTGGTCAAAGAACTTCTCCAGGTCTCCAAAACCGAACAGAATCCAAGAGTTTGCTATGGGAGCTCATTAGTCGAAAGCATAACATCAAGTTTTTTCCAGTTGTTACTGTGAATTGACTCAGAAGGATTAGGGGAAAAATTAAAAACACTCTATGTTTTTCATACTTGGGACATTTAGGTACTTACTATTTCTTACATATGCCTGGCATTTCATGGTTTATGGTGCTTTCACAGCCATGATAATTTTGGGGTTTTTTTAAACAAGATAGGGATTAGTTTTCTGCCACGGGACTCTTCACATTCCATAGCAAAATGGCCACAGAATGCCTGATGTAGGTCTACAAAGTGTTACCAAAGAGAAGCAAAGACAAGACTCAAGGTCAAAGACAGTAAATTAAACAAATGATTACCAAAAAGCTGTCCAATTTAATGAATAGGAAATTTACCAGCAAATTTGCTATAAATTTACATTCCTTAGGTCTTCCCTTAGAAATTCCAACTTGGATTTTTCTTTAATCTGCATTTATAGCCCGTTCCCAGCTTAAGAAAATCCCTGATGATCCTTGCTGGCATTTTCTCCTTGATTTTGCCCAGTCAGAGTCTGCTCAGAACTTCTGTGGGCCAAATTCAGAACTGCTCAAAGGATTCATACAGGTACGTAGAAAACAGGCCCCAAAGACAGATATAGTTGCCGGTTCCACTATTGATCAAGCTGTGAATGCCAACTTTTCTGCTCTGGTGTATTGTACTCCAGATTTATATGAGAAGCTGCAAAAATATGGTAACTTATATTATAGGGAATATTGCAAATTCAAGTTAATTCCTGATCTGCAACCACAGTTGAAGAACACTTCCTCTGGGCCTAGACTGATCCCTGAGAGAAGACAAAGTGGGGTTTTTTTGGTTTGTTTGTTTTTGTTGTTGTTGTTGTTGGTCGTGGGGCTTGGACTCTGGGCCTGGGCACTGTCCCTCAGCTCTTCAGCTCAAAGCTAGTGCTCTACCACGTGAGCCACCTTCCCAGCCCAGACAAAGTGTTTTATTTATCCCTAGTCACTTCCCCATATCTGATACATCATAGGGCCAGTTAATTGTCCATTGAATTGTTCAAAATCAGTCCTCCTTCCCCTTGCCCCCAAAAAATCTGTTTTACATGGGGTTAGTTCAAGTCTACAGCTTCTCTAACTACAGGCTAGAACTTAATTTTACTATGGGAGATTAAGGTAGGAAAAGCTATTCACTTAGTAGAGGCTAACTTATAAAGCATTAGGCCAAGGAATTCATTCGAAGGAAATAACTTCAAATGTACTCTATAATAATATATTAATTCATAAGTACAAAGTCCACCTATGAAACTAAATATTAGGCTGTTTGCTTGGGAAACAAGAAATCAAAGTAAATAAAATTTAACAACTTTTAGGCTTAAATTGTTAAAGTGACATAATTTGTGAGACAATTCATATGAAAGCAATGTATAATATCATCCTATTTGTAAACATGCTGAAGGCATTATATAGGGGCAACATGTGTAAGCTCTGGAGTCTCTAGAAACCTTAGGAAAAGCCACTACTTTTCTGGACCATGGTGTTTTGGGTTTTTTTTTTTTTTTTGGTGGTCATGAGTCTTGAACTCTGGGCTTGGGTGCTGTCCCTGAGCTCTTCAGCTCAAGGCTATTGCTCTAGGGCTTGAGCCACAGTGCCACTTCCAGTTAATTGGAGATAAGAGTCTCATGGCTTAATGATAATAATAAAAAAAAATTTAAAGAGTCTCAAGAAAGTTCCTTAACCAGGCTGGCTTTGAACTGTAATACTCAGATCTCAGCCTCCTGAGTAGCTAGGATTACAGCCATGAGCCACTAGCACCCGCTTGAACCATGGTTTCTCTTCCTGCAAAATTGAAATGATGCTACTACTTGTCTTTTGGAGTTTTGTGATAATTAAATGAGACAATATCTGTAAAGTTTTGACAGTTTCCTTAAGTTAACAAGTTCTTAGTAAATGTTTATTCATAGCTTTCAGTTCTTGTATGTATGTGTTCACTGGGGCAAGCTGTCTTCCAATTGTTAGATAGGGCCTCTTGCACCTTTGCAAGATAGGCAGCCTCAGACCACAGTTCTCAGATTCCATGGTAGCGGGGATGAAATATTTTGTTCCCTTTCTGCTGGATCACCAATGTCAGATGTCAGATGTCAGAAATAATACAACACCAGTACAAAAGGAAAGGCACAGGCTGAGATGAAGCTCAATGGCAAAGTGCTTGACTAGCAAGTAAGTGTAACATCCCGGGTTCAATCCCCAGTACCAAATAAGAAAAGAAAAACATATATACAGTTAAAAATAACAACAACAACAACAACCCAAGCAGGATGCTGGTGGCTTAGGTCTATAATCCTAGTTACTCAGGAGACTGAGATCTGAGGAACACGGTTCAAAGCCAGTCCAGGCAGGAAGGTCTAGGAGACTCTCTTATCTCACCAGAAGAAGCCAGAAATGGAGCTGCGGCTCAAGTGGTAGAGCACTAGTGTCAAGCAAAAGAAGCTCAAGGATAGAGCCCAGGCCCTGAGTTCAAACCCCAAGACTGGCAAAAAGGAAAGGCTCACACATGATGGCAGGCAACATGGAATCTAGTTCCTGTTACTTCAGACCATCACTGCATATTTGTAAGCCTTAGTTTACACATTAGCAAAATATGAATGACCCCTGCCAACATTGTTCCCTGCCTTAATTTCCTTTCACCATCCAATCACACTTACTGTAGGCCAACAATATAGACTTACACTTAATGCTAACAATGCAAAACCTGGAAATGAATGAATGACATACTGCCTTTGTGTGCAGGAACTCACTAGGACATTTCAAATGAGGTATATATGAAAGGGGTTTTTTTTTGGGGGGAGCAAGAGTCACAGGCAAGACAGTCGGAAGAAAGTGTTGGGGTGAGTCAGCTTTATGGAGACCTCCCCTCTGTCTGAATTTTGCCTAGAAGGTGGGAGTAAATAAAAGACCAACTTTCCTTTCTGTAAGAAACCAAGAAAGGGCGGGCACTAATCCTCTGGGTCTGACCGATGAATCTATATTTTAGAAAGGACTGAGTTTGGCCCTGCTAAAATGCTGGAGGATCCACCGAGGGTAGGAGAAAATACATACACACATACATAACCCCACATATACATACACATGCATACATTCATATACATACACACATACATACACATGCATACATTCATATACACACATACATAACCCCACACATACATGCATACATATATACATGCACACATACATGTGCATACATACATACACACACATACATACACACATACACACACACATACATACATACATACCTTCTAACCCAACTGCGCATGAGCAGTTTGATTTTAACCCTGAGCGGAGCCCCACCAGGTCAGAAATCTTACGTCAACGTCTGCGTAAAAGACGTACGGAAGGCGGCGTGGAATCCGGAGATCTGAATCACGTGATGCGGCGGGAGCGCCGTTGGCTCCTCCCTCCCCAAGATGGCGTCTCTGCTGCAGTCGGAGCGAGTTCTCTACCTGGTTCAGGGAGAGAAGAAAGTTCGGGCGCCGCTCTCGCAGCTCTACTTCTGCCGTTACTGTAGCGAGCTACGGTCGCTGGAATGTGTGTCTCACGAGGTAAGGGGGCGTCTCCTGGAAAGGGTGTGTGTCGCTGTGGGGGGTTCGCCCTAGTCACTGCGACCGGTGGGGAAGTCCCGCCGGCCGGAGGCGGGGAGTCACTTTCCTAGCTTGCTGACTGGCTGTGGCTCCCGTCACTCAACTGTGCCTGGGATTTAATTTGCTAATGACTTGTCACTTGGAGAGAGAGGCGGCCTGTGTGGGACTGGGAGGCTCGGGTCCCACTGCTGCGACTGGGTGGGCGGGTTGCACTTCGACTCCGGCCGCCTGCTGTGGGGCTTGCTCATCGGGGTGGGCTCGGGAGAAAGGCCGCTGGAGGGCCAAAATGTCTGACTTTCCAGAATTGGTGGAAGGAAGGGGCAGGCATTCCCCATCCCTGGCCTGCCTTTCTTGGAAGTTGTGCCTCGACTTGCCCCGAACTGGGCCCTCGTCTTGCTGCGGGAAGGGGCAGGGCAGGGCGGGGCTGGGTGGGGGGTAAACCCGGCTTGGAACCGTCTGTCAAGGAGGACCCTCAGAGTTACCTGCGCAGCGCTCCCCGGGGTACACTGGCGCCGTGTTCACAGGCACAAACGCTCGTGCAAGTAGGAGTGCTCAAAATTGAGACCACCCAAGTCGGCAAGAAAGCAGCAAATAACAACCTCGGAACGTAAGCACCTGACACAACTCGTTCGTTTCACTGATTAAAAGATAAGTGTTGAGTTACTGCTGATGTCGAGAAACAGCATTTACTCCTGCTGACTAACTCACAGTCTAGGGAAGTTGAAACTTACCGTAATAACGGGAGTATTCATTGCTTGCGGTAGGGCTTTTTAATGCTCTTTATCCTTCCCAAAAAATACAGGGAAAGAAAGAAACAGTTTGTAAGAGACAGAAGTTTGGGAGGGAGAGCGTGGATCAGATATTTAGTTTAAACAGCCTGACTCAGGAAATTTTACCAAAGATCCTATAGAACGTTAAAAGCACTTGTGAAAACATCCTATACAATAACCCATTTACACAATAATTATTTTATTGGCAATACTTTTCAGAATATTAGAGATAGTCAAGGAAAGCAAATGATACATGAAAAATCAATGCCATGCTTATATATGCACTATATGTAAGTGTATATATCCGAATATATACATATTCTCTCAATATGTTTTTTCTTGTACTCTCCATTAGCACTTTAAGTATATCTTTTTGGCAGGGTTTTTCTCTTCTAGATGTGGGTGGGCATTATGGAGTTGAATCTCTGATCTCTGAGGACCTCTTCCACTATAACTCTTGTCTGTGCCAGCATCTTTTACAGCCTGGTTTGTATCAATAATATGTAGTCTATTAAATCTTGAAAAAGATGAGGCTTCTGAGAACTAGGGCAGTGCAGAAAGCTCTAATGGAAAACCTGGTTCTTAAGCCACACATGAAGGTAGAAACAATTTGAAAAGTAAGAAGGAATGAACTATATTTTTTACATTTTATGTTTGTGAATGAAAATATTAGTTAGCAATACTGTGTTAGTTTTGCATAGCAACTTTATTCATCTTTTCAAATTGGTCCTGTTTATAGCAGATGACAAAGAAGCCAGTGTCCACCATAGTATTTATGCTCAAGTGAATGTCTGCACGTGATTAGAATTCTATAAATAGGTTTAAAGACTATTAAGGATTATCTGCCTGGATTGTTCAGATCTTTAAAAATGCAGTAAATTTAACTTTTAGACTGTGTTTTTATTACAGATAGTAAAATTGCTGATGCTGGTAGTTCACACCTGTGATGTTAACAACTCAGGAGTCTGAGAAGTGCAGAGGATCACGTTTTGAAGCCAGTCCAGGCAGAAAAGACTATGAGACTCCTATCTCCCAATTAGCTACCAAAAAAATAAAAATAAAAAACAAACCTGAAAGTGGAGCAGTTGCATAAGTGGTGGAGTGCTAGTCTTAAGCAAAATGGTCCCGAAGCCCTAAGTTCAAGTCTCAGGACCAGCACAACAACAACAAAGGAAAATTATGTTGTTAGTTTGTTGTTTAAAAATCTTTGATTGGTTGGCCGTAGCTTGCCATTGTAATTATATTAACTTAGGCTTAGTAAATACTTTAGCTCATTAATGAGAAAACTTCTTGGTATCTTCCTTTAGGAACAGGGAGTGCGACTCAGTGCTGTCAAAGGAGAAAAAAGTGCTGAATTCAATCCCCAGTACTGCCCAAAGCTGAACTACACAGGAAGATACTTGATACAGTTTTACTTATGCATTATTCATCTACTCATTAGATTATAGAGCACTTCAGTTGGAAACGTTAGTTATATAGACAACTTTTAACACAGCTAGCACATAAAACCCTAGCAATAAGTCACTAGTCCAGCAAGTTCTAGGGGTAGAGCAGGAATAGGTAACCATCTAAAAGACAAAAGACCTATCAAGGAGAGATACACAAAAAACTATCAGATAGGAAATACGTGGGAAAAATTTAAATGCAGAGTCAAAAACAAACAACTACAACAAAGCAGGGCTGGGAAAGTGGCTCAGTGGTAGAGCGCTTGTCTTGCATGCATGAGGCCCTGGGTTCGATTCCTCAGTACCACATAAGCAAAAAA